ACACACACACACAAATTTTTGGGGGAGGGGGTGAGTACAGGTCTCCCTATGCAGCTCAGACTCATAGTGATCCTCCTTTGTCAGCCTCCCCAGTGCTGGGATTATAGGCATGCACCATGCCATGCCTAATCTCAGTGGCTCAGTTCAGAGCTGGCATGACATGTGGTACCCGGGATCAAATCCAGGTCCTTGTGCTTGCCAGACAGGTACTTAGACTGCCGAGCTATCTCCCTGGCCCTGGCTGCCCTTTTTATTTAGCAGCCTTATACAAAATCACTCAAGCTTTAACTTCACTGAGTCTTTGAAATGCAGCTGGTTGAAACAGAGATGTGCTGTGAGAGGGTAAGCTATATACCATAGTTCAAAGATTACATGAAGCTGCCCTAGAACTCCTGGACTTAAGCAGTCTTTCTTTCTTGGCCTCCCAGTAGCTGGAACTATAGGCATGTACTACCATATGTAGTTTTCCTTTCATCTCTAAGGTCCAGTCCTGCTTTAGTTCCCTGCCACTGCTTCTAACCTGCCCAGCCCCCACCACTATGGACTGAGACCCCCCCCCCCAGGGCCTCTTACCTGTATGGGACCGGTTATGGATCTTCAGGTTTTCTAGGCGAGAGAAGCTCTTGTTGCAGGTTGGGCAGCGGTGTGGCTTCTCATTGGTGTGTGTGCGGATGTGGATGAGCATCTTGTACCTGCTCCAGGGAGGGCATGGAGGCACTAAGCTCACTGCATACCCAGCCTCTCCATCCTTCCCTTATTCCTGCTCCCTCACCTGGCATTGAAGCCACGGCCGTGGCGGGCACAGCCCTCCCAGTGGCAGCAGTACCCTGCATCTTTCTCAGGCTTGACGTGGTAGTCATTGACATGGTCCACCAGGTCTTGTAGGAGCTCAAACAGCTGGTTACACTGCAGGGCCAGACAGAGTCTGAGCAAGACAGCCACACTGGGCACCCCCACTCTTCCCTGCCCTACTCACCTTAGCCCAGCGACACATCAGCTGCTTGGGTAAGGGCAGCTCTGGTGAGAGGCACTTGTCCTTGGGGGAGTTGAGGAAAGAAGAAGCAGGCAGGTGCAAGGCACCCCCAGAGCCCAGGGGTAGGAAGAACTGAAAAGAACTGGGAACACCATCCAAGTAGCGCAGAGGCTGGAAGTCCTATAGTAAGAGAGCAAAGACAGAGCTAGTTAGTGCCTTGTTTAGATCCTTTGGCAAACCCAGACCCCTTCTGTCCTCTTCTGGAGTGGACTGAATGGTGTCCCCAAAAAGATACATTCAAGCCCTTATCTCAGGTACTGAGGCTTGTGACTGTGTAAAAATCAGGTCTTTGCAGATGAAGCCAAGTTAAAATGAGATCCTGCTGCGTTAGGGTGGCCTTAAGCCCAGGGACTAGTATCTATGACAGAAAGAAGGAAATATGGAAGCACAAAGGAAATCATGTGAAAGTGGGAGCAGAGATTATAGGGATATAGCTATCACACAAAAGATTCCAGAGTGGCAGAAGCTAAAGGAGGCAAGGCTTTCTTCCTAGAACTTTTGAGGGCACTTGTCCCAGTGAACACCTGAATTTTAGACTTTAATTTCCTCAGTCGTAAGAGAATAACACATTTCTGTTGTTTTAGCCTGCCAGTTGTGTAGGGCTTCTCATGGAGCCTCTGGAAACCAATATACCTTCTATCTCCAGAATCCTCACTCCTTCTTACCGGAGCAGGGGGCATTGGAGGCAAGTCCCCATTGCCCTGACGCTCAGGGGACAGTGAGCTACTGCCATTGGGGGAGTCCAGTCCAGATGGTGGTGATAAGCTGAGGTCCACCAGAGGGGCTGCAGAGAAGCGTCCATCCACCTTCTCAGGGAACTTAGGGTTCAGCAGGAAGCCTAAGGGAGAGACACAATTCACTCAGGAGGTGCTGGAGCCAGGAACCAGAAGTCCTGGTGAGCCAGGTCCCTGTATCTCCATGGTGACCCTGGGAACAGACATGAGCCCTGTTTCAACAGACTACCTTGGGATCTAAGGAGCAACCTGTATAACAGATGTGACAGTATCACATCCTGTGTTTGATCTTTACTCCCCTGAGAGCTTAGCCATGGAGTAAGTCAGGAAGTGGGACTCACCCATTTTACAGATGGGCTTAGCCTACCGCATAAAGTGGGTAACAGAATAAGAACTTAAACACAATATACCTGGCTCCCTGTGATAATTTTCCCAGGCCCCTTCCTGCCTCAGTACTCCCTTCTATAGAATGGGAGGTATGAGGTGGTTTGCTTCCCAAGCCTTCCAACTCAGGGGTCCACATGGAGGTAGAACACATGAGGTGATTGTATATTAGACGTAAGCATTAAACATTGAGACACACTTGCTGGGCTGAGTCCTCAAATACCACCACCTTGATTGATAAGCTGTACCTTCTAAAAACCCCAGGAGTTAAGGTCTTGGAACTGTTGGTCTTGGATGCTTCCCACACCACTATCACATTCTACTAGGGGCCTCAGTTTGAATCATGTCTCTGTGCCAGGTGCGTGAACTGGGTGGCCTCAACTGCCTCATCTAAAGCTAAACTTCGAGGAGGATGAATGGACAAGCATCTTTGTGATACTTCTAAACCAAAGCCACAAGGGACTGCACCCAATCCTGTGGACATACCTTAGCCGTCGTCCCTATCACCACAGCTCAAGCCCATCTGAGTCCCCCACCCTGCCTCATGCAGTACCTGAAGGTGGGGAGCCTGGGGAGCCAGGTGTGGGGCTATCATCCACCAGGCCCAGTTCCTTGTGCAGAGTGCGGTGCCGAACCACACCCAGTGTCCTCTCCCGCTTTTCTCTTGCCACCCGGAGCTTGGTGATGCTCAGCTTCAGGTCGAGTGGCTCGTCCAAGGAATGCATGGTGATGAGGGGCTAGTGTCAGAGGGGGCAGCAGGCAGAAGAGGGTGACCAAATGGTCTTCAAGCAGGAACCTGGGGAAGGACAGGGGCTGTGCTGTGACACTACAACCCCAGGCTCTTCAGACTGCACCCATGGAAGCGCACAGGAACTGGAAAAGGGTAGGGCAGGGAGATGCTCTGAACAGCCTTAGCCAGCAAGAATTATTGAGAAAAACAGTTGTCTATTCAGGTTCCACATCTACTTCCCATGAATCTTTGGGCAGCCAAGCTTACACTAATTTTCAAATTTGCTCTGTTGCCCTCTTTTAATGCTAAGGAGTAAACCCAGGACCTTGGGTATACTAGGCAAGTGCTTGCTCTCTCAATGAGCTGCATCTCCAGCCCTTTTTTCTTAAGTTTTTCTCAGACAAGATCTCACTATGTAGTTCAGGCTGGCCTTGAACTTACAATCCTCTTGCCTCAGCCTCCTGAGTAGCAAGGGCTACAGATGTGCACCGTCATACTCAGAATTCCCACCCACCCCATCTTACCATAAAAGTGCATTTTAGAGATACTGCTTCAGGTCTGTAGAGCTAGGAAGTGGCAGAGCTACCAGACTCAAGACCTCAAACACAGATCTCCCAGGAACTGCCAGCCAAGTCCTGTCTGTCACTTCTGACAGAGTTGGAAGCCACCTCTGGGAAGTCTGCCTGGTCAGAGTCCAAAGACCCAGAAACAGGCCATGGGAGCACCAAGCCTCCTCCATGACCTTCCTCCAAGAGAGTCATTAGTATTTCTCAGCCATTAACAGTTAACCCACCTATGGCCAGTAAGCAACTGTGCCACCTTCCAAGGGAACCAGGCTAAGAACCTGTCCTGGACAAGCCATGTGAAACTTGCCTGGACAGTTGGGGACACAGGCAAAGGGCCCCATCTCGCAGGTGAGGCCAAAGAGAGGCATCCACAAACCACTTAGAGCTTTTCTCCTAGCTGCCGCCAGAGGGCAGTTGGAGACTGGCCAGTCCAGTCCAATGAGGGCAGGCTTGGTAGAGTAGATCAGCTCTCTATATAGAAAAAAATACATAGTGCGTTTTGTTTTGTTGTTGTTGTTGTTATTTTCTATTGGCCATAATGTTCTTCTAACTTTTATGTTGTAATCTTTTTTTTTGGGGGGTGGAGGGGTACCGCTTGTTGATCCCAGCACCTTCACGTTAAGATACATTACCAATTTCTAATTTACTTTGAGATACTGGATAAATAACTAAATCTCCCAAGCTATCCCCTGCCTCAGCTTTCCAGACTGCTGGGAATATAGGTGTGCCACAAGACCCATGTATAAGTTTAATTTCTTAGAATTATTCACTGCAGTTATGAGTTCCACTGACCCACTCTCCCCTCTAAATTCATACTTTATTTTCCAAACAGCAGTTTCTTCCCACGTGGAGGGAGAAATTTCCCAGTTTCCTGGCCTTCGCTAGTCAAGACTGGTACACCTGAAAAATCTCTGTTAACAAAGTGTCACTGAGAGATCCGGTGGATACTATACATAACCACCATTAGGAAAGTATGGGCCAGGGATGGAGCTCAGTGGCACAGCACCTGCCTGACAAGCATGAAGTTGTGAGTTTGATTCCTGGTACCAGACAAACACACACACACACACACACACACACACACCCCAAAAAACAACCACAACCATGTGGAATGTACTTCAAATCCCCTCCCCTTCGTGTGTCCTTGGGTGCTGGGGTGGCCCAAATGAATCTAGTGCTGCCTGAATGCTCTCACTGGAGTATGTCATCTGTATATCCCCTTCACTCCTTTTTTTTTTTTTTTTGGTGGAACCGGGTATTGAACTCAGGCCCTTGTGCTTGCCAGGGAGGAAGCACTTGTTCTATTGAGCCATCTCCCCAGCCCCTCCCTTCACTCCTTCTCTAGGCCAACACTTTATCTAGTCTTCACTTGGCCCCCAACCCGTTACCCTTCCCCTTGATCCCCCACAAACACACCAGAAACAAGACTGTCCCTTCCTCCACTCAAGAAGGTCCCTCCAGCTTGCAGCGATATCTCAGATTCCATTACATGTGGCTAACACAGAGTCCCTGGGCACAGGGAGACTGTGCAGTCCCAGGCCTATGTGATCAGAGCATGGACAGCCAGCTGCCCTTGACCATGGGACCCAGGTCTATGGGTTGACCCTGTTGAAGTTGTTAGAGCTGTTAGGCTATTCCAGGGCAGGAGCTCGAGCAGTACAAGGGGCTTGGAGACCAGCATGCCACCCTCTGCTCAAGGACCCAGACCCCAGCTGGCAGGTAGATGAATGACAAGAGATGGGTGGCCTTGGGTCTCCTGTTCTTCCCGGGGCAGGGAGCCACCCTCTGCCTGAACCCCCATACAGTTATGTCTGTCTGCGTGTCTGCCTGTCCTTCCACTTGTTTATTTTTAGACACAGACCCAGTCCAACCTCCCTGAAGCTCCTCTATGCTAGGAGCCTGGAAGGGAAGGAAGGAAGTAAATATTTATGCTGATTAAGAATTCAGGAGCCAGGAAGGGCTGGTGGCCTGGTCCTTCTGCTGGACCTGGGCCACAGGCCTCTGCACAGCCCCTGTCCTCACCCTGGCCCCCCAGTATGGAGAACAAGACCACGGGGCAGGACAGTTTGGGAACCAGGAATTCAAGCAGACATTGACAACACTGTCCAAGTAACATCCTTTGACACCTGCCCCTACACACACAGACACAGACAGACAGACAGACAGACAGACACACACCCCTACCCACCCCTGCCAAAGGGAGCTGGGAAGGAGCCATGTTCTGGGTTACTTTGGTTTTAGGACCTCCAGGGGATACTACATCCCCTATAGACCTTGGGAGGACCCCAAGAGAATCTGCATGAGACCAAGCACAGCCCCCAAGATGGGAAAGAGAAACCTCCAACATCCTCCCCTCATCAGCAGGCCCAATCCCCAGGGACCCTGCCCCACCCCCCCACTTCCTGCTGCTGAGTTCTGCCCAGGGAGGCAGGGGTTCATTCCCGAGGAAGCCAGAGCCCAACCCAGGCACTGCCTCCTCCTCCTGGGAAAGGAGGAGGAAGGAGCCGCCCCAAGGCCCACACCTCCTAGTACCCCCACCCAGGCTGGCAGGCACTGATTTTTACTCTGAGGGCAGCCCCCTAGGGAGAAAAGGTCTTGTGACCTCTCTCCTGCTCTGACCTTGGCTAACCTCAAAATGTCCCCTCCCTATCCCCAGCCGGCAACAGCTAGTCTAGGCTCAGCTCTGCTCTTTGTTCCTTGGCTGGATGGAGACAAGTAAGAACTAGGTTCTTGCTGTTCTAGAAGCCTGGAATCAAGCACCTGGGGGCCAGCTACGCCATCACCTGACTTAAAGCTCAGGAAGGGGCAAGATGGACCAGAGGGTGAGGAAATAGTGAAAGGTGATGCAGCTGCCTGCCTCTTTCTAAAAGGGCAAACTTAACCAACCTTGGACCAGAACTCTGGGGGTGGGGGGGTGATCTGGCCCTAGGGTATGTCTGCCTTGAAGTGGTATATAGTCCCTGAGCACAGAAGCCTGGCCTTCTCATAGTTGGGTGCTCATGGGCTCCCCTGCCCTTGTGTGGAGGACAGAGCGTACCCACTGGCCTACACCAGTTCCCTGTAGGCCTTAATATTCCCACAGATTGGACGACATTGTGCCTCAACACTGTGCTCAGTAGCAGGGAGCTGCAATCAGCGACCAAGGACCAAGACTTGGGACTCAGGACAGGATATGATGCAGTAGCTGATGCTGTCCAGTGTGCTATATGACACCCCCACCCGCAAGGGCCTGCAGGGAGGCTGTAGGGGGTCGAACTGCCTTAGCTGTTCCCAGCTCCTGCAGCAGCAGCAAAAGGAACTAATTAGAGAAGAGGGAGGGAAAGGAAGCAAGGTTGGTGGGAGGGAGGAAGCATGGGGGGACCACCAGGGCAGTGGGGGTGGGGTACAGTCCTCCCCCACCCCTGGGTGGGGTCACCCAGAGGGTGGGCGGCCCCCCAGGGTGGGCTTTCCCCACCCAGGGCCAAGACAATGGCTGCTATTGTGCACCATGCAGCCGGCCCCCAGCTGCAGGGCCTGAGGCTTGCTGGGGTGTCCTGGGCAGGACAGGACTATCTCCATTCCTCCCCTTTTCTCAACAGAAGGCTGGGCCCAGTGGGGAAACTGAGGCTCAAGGTCACCAGGTTAGTGGCGGCCAACTAGAATTCCGCTTGTGGATGTAGCCCCCAGGCAGAGAAGGAAAACAACTGATTGGCCCTCAACATAGAGAGGTAGAGGCACATGTGATTTGGGAGTTAGACTCCTTAGCAGAAGCAGAGGACCCTGCATTATGGGGAAGTGGGGGGGGGGGCTGTATCCCTGCCCACCCCACAACATTGTGGGGTCAGGTGAGTGACTATGAGTGTATCAGCATTGTCAAAGGCAAGGTGAGGTGAGGGATATCCTTTATTCCTGGGATATTCCTGGGACTACCTCTTTGGTTTTTGTTTTGAGACAGGCTCTCACTATGTAGTTTAGGTTGACCTTAAACTATGTATGAAGCCCAGGCTGACCTTGAACTCATGGCAACTCTACTGCCTCAGCCTCCCCAGGGCTGGAGTTACAGGTGTGTACCATCACTCCCAGCCTTCCCCCTTTGGTCTTCTATGGCAAGTCCAGCCTAGGACTTGAGGACACACTGGGCCTCTTATGAGTTCATGTGTTCTTACTGAACAAAAGAGGACCCAAGAACCTGGTCTGCCTATACCTGTCACTCAGGCCCTGCTCTAGGATGTCCCCTCAGTCTCGTAGGGACCATCACTTCATCACTCTAATCTTACCAATGGGGAAATAGTGCCAGAGGAAGGTACGGCCTCAAGTGGCACAAGTCAATAGCAAGCCCAGGAACAGAAGCTGTGGGTACATATCACCGTGACAGTACCCACAGCTAGTTGACAGCAACATGCCAGCACCTGTTAAGGCAGGTGCTGTTTCATTCCTACTTTACAGATGCAAAACCTGAGGCTCATAAGAATCAAGTGACATGTCCAGAGTCATATGCTTTGTCTGTTACACAGCTGGGCC